TGGTCCCACCGAGTTTGAGTAATCGGTCCAACCGAGTCTGCCTGACCAACTCTCTGGTTAGCTAATTACCAAAATCGGTCTCACCGAGTTTGTGTAATCGGTCTCACCGAGATTACGTTATGCCCTAACCCTAACCATATCGGTCCTACCGAGTTGCATGTCGGTCCCACCGAAAATCCTAACGGTCACTAGATTTGCTGAATTGGTCTGACCGAGTTTGTTGATTCGGTCCCACGGAGTTTGGTAAATTATGTGTAACGGTTAGATTTTGTGTGGAGGCTATATATACCCCTCCACCTCCTCTTCATTCGTGGAGAGAGCCATCAGACTGAACCTACACTTCCAGTATCCTATTTCTGAGAGAGAACTACCTACTTATGTGTTGAGGCCAAGATATTCCATTCCTACCATATGAATCTTGATCTCTAGCCTTCCCCAAGTTGCTTTCCACTCAAATCTTCTTTCCACCAGATCCAAATCCTATGAGAGAGAGTTGAGTGTTGGGGAGACTATCATTTGAAACACAAGAGCAAGGAGTTCATCATCAACGCACCATTTGTTACTTCTTGGAGAGTGGTGTCTCCTAGATTGGCTAGGTGTCACTTGGGAGCCTCCAACAAGATTATGGAGTTGAACCAAGGAGTTTGTAAGGGCAAGGAGATCGCCTACTTCGTGAAGATCTACCGCTAGTGAGGCAAGTCCTTCGTGGGCGACGGCCATGGTGGGATAGACAAGGTTGCTTCTTCATGGACCCTTTGTGGGTGGAGCCCTCCGTGGACTCGCGCAACCGTTACCCTTCGTGGGTTGAAGTCTCCACCAACATGGATGTACGATAGCACCACCTATCGGAACCACGCCAAAAACATCCGTGTCTTCAATTGCGTTTGAATCCTCCAAAACCCTTCCCTTTACATTCTTGCAAGTTGCATGCTTTACTTTCCGCTGCTTATATACTCTTCGCATGCTTGCTTGCTATATGTTGTGAATGTTAAACTTGTGCCTAAACTCCACTTAAACTTAAAGAAGCTAAAAACTGCAACTTTGGTACTTAGTGTCTAATCACCCCCCCTCTAGACACCTCTTCTCAAGGTCCTACACATGGACCAAAGCCCTGTTTTCTACTAGTGCAATAACGACGATTGTGGCTCCAGGATGATGGTCCTTAGGAGAACGTGCACGAAGACTTCCCAATTGTCACCAATAGGCCAAGTCGGCTGCTCGTTCAGCTAGGAGAACAGTAATTGCATGTGAGTTGGCACATGAATACATTTTGGCAGGGGAGTGGCGATAATGGCGTGTCAGCTACTCGTTTTGGCGGCGGTCGTGGTCGTTCGATGGTCTGGGGACCTTGATGTAATTGTTATTATGTTTGGGGTGCTTCATACTTCTAATGAGGTTTTATAATATAGTTCTGGATGCTTTTTCGCAAAAGATAATCTATACCTACTAACAAAGGGAGGATAATTTATGTCCGTCATGCATTTTTATAGAAACCCCCTGCCTTTTCCAGTAATTAACCCACAATACACCTTTAAGTGACAGGAAAATGATCCATCGCATATTTTTGAAAACCCTCTGCTTTTCTTGTAATTAGATCCGCGGTCCACCTTGAAGGGATGAAAAAGTGAGGGCTTACATATAACAATCAACAAAAAAAGGTTGCTTTATTTGAAACTTGAACTCACAAGTTCAAGTAATATAGTGACCTCAACAAGCAACTAAGCTACACGTGTATTCATGTGCCAACTCACATTTTTATTTTTGTTTATATATTACATTGGTTGAACTCTCTCTTTAGCGGTTTAGAAAAGGAAATCTGGACGCGAACCATGATGGAACCTCACATATGTATGTATGCTGCACAAACTAACTAATTTCTCGAACACATGATATATTCTTCATATTTGTTCATTGTTCCAATATTTTCTTGCATACAACACAAAATCAAGGATCAGATCTTCTCCTACCAGTTGTATCCAATTGAAACCGATGCAAGATTTATTTCAACATACCAACAATATATCACCACGACTTACGTTGTCATCGCACTTTCTTGTCTCCCCCAACACATCTAAACTTTCCCTTTCCCTAGTCGGACCCTTGCACCATTAAGGCCGTATCCACAAGGAAAATCCATTCAAAGAAAAAGAGCTCGAACCATGCACCTGGAGGACAAATTTCGTCATTCAATCTATTCCAACCACTGCAACCTACATCGCGATCCGTAAGAAGTTTTCCAAAATTACTCACATGCATCTACTCATTTATTCCGCCAACCTACTAGACATTGTCTACCGCCCTATTGTTGCCGTTGGCCGCGCACACCATAATCTGTGCCATTTGTGGACGTGAAGAGAAAAATGGCAACTCAGCAATCAACGTTTGTGTCGCACATTTGCTTTGCATGTTTTTTCTTATCCCGAAGCCCTAGAACAATCGTTCTACGGTAATTTTGCTTTACGTGCTCACTGAGGAACATGTGCTAATACTATGTGTCTGAGATTTGCTCTAGAACAAAACATGTGCTAATACTATGTGCTAAGGTCGCACGGTACCTCTTAACATGCCTTCACTTAATCTCTCATAGTTCTCCCTCCACACTACACAATCAGTGAGCCCAAATGATTGCTAAGTTCTAGTGCTCCGACCAAAAATATTCGCCAATGGGGGCGAGTATATCCATCGACCCAACAACTACTTTTCGTAAGCTAATTGGCTACGAGAAAACTAGCTAATCCTTTCCTTAAAAAAACCTCACCTGCACGTATGCGATCCTATGCACTTGTCTCTACGCCGAAGCCGGGTGCTACTGGCAGAAAACCAGGTGGAAACCCGAGGGCAGGCCCGTCATTTCAGCCAAGCAAGCCCGAGCGACTGAGCAACCACACCCGCACAATAAAGCCGGCTCACGCACTCCGCCCACTCCCTCTCACCCGCAACCGCCGTCGCCTCTCCACTTTCGTCTCTCTCACTCACTCTCCCCCTCCGCCGCCGGCGCAGCGTCCTCCCCGCGACTCCGATGGCCAGCAAGTGGGTCAGGCCCGAGGTGAGCTCCACACCCAGATCCGGGCCATCCACCCGCTCCTACCACTTCCCCTTCTTCCGTTCGCTTATTATCCTGTCTCGCGGCCGCGCAGGTGTACCCGCTGTTCGCGGCGACGGGCGTCGCCATCGGCATCTGCGCCTTCAGCCTCCTCCGCAACATCACCGGCAACCCAGAAGTCAGGTAAAGATCTCGACTGCAGTCCCCCCTCTTATCCTTGGCCGTTTATTTCTTGATTGAGAGAAACGAATCGGCCCCCTCCCTCGCTTGTTTGATTATTACTAGTACATGGCTTGGCGTTGTACGGCTTATTAGTGGACTAGGAAAGAGTAGATCCGCTAGATTATGGCCTGTTCGTGGTGGCTGGCCGCTGGGTGTTTAGTGTTGACTTCGCTGCTACGGTCGATATCCATGTTTTTTCAGGTGAAAGAAAAAGTTGTGGTCTTGGTTCCATTTGGGTGGGAGAATCAGCCCACGAGGACGAGGGGTGAGAACCGTTTGGCCTTTTGGGGAAGCTATTTGCTTGTGCGCGTGGATTGTTGGTGAAATTATGCGGGATTTCGCAGTATAATTTTGTATTCTGAGTATGATATTGTACCAATCATAGCTCGTACAGACAGGAAGTCATGTGTGTTATCCTGTGGGTTCTAATGGATAATGAAATATTGTACTAGTACATGATCTACTTTTTGTACTAGCAATTGTTTAGTGCACTTGCATGATTGGGAGACGATCTTAATAAACAGTATCTACATTGATGGTTATTTTAATTCATGGCAGCTTATCTTAATCTTGTTAGAGAAAAGCCTGAAACAACCTATACTTCTTAGTAACAATGTACTGAAATGATTTCATCTGCAGGGTCAACAAGATGGGGAGGGCAGCGGGAGTGCTTGAGAACCATGAGGAGGGCAGGCGCTACGCCGAGCATGGCCTCAGAGCCTATGTGCAGGACAAGACCCCCGAGATCATGCCAGGAATCAACAAGTTCTTCACCAGCCCGAAATGAAGCACTTTAGCCTGTCTGTTGCTCGCTATTAGTAACTGTTGTGGTCAAGTGCAAACCTATTTCAAGCATTCAGTAATGTTGTCGCGTCCATAATTCAGAGGATGTCATCAAGTGCCTCTTATTGAAAGAACCATGTGATGTTTGATGGCTTGCTATATATGTGATGGTTGATGGCTTCTAAATATCTGTTTCATTGAAATTGTGGATATTCCATGCTTCCATTTAGTTGATGTGTTGCGATTACTGCAGACATTTGGATATTGCTACTGCTGGTATTTTGAAGTGTGTTCCTGTCTTAACAGTAGCTTGGACACAACTCATTTGGAATTTGTGAATTTTGTGAGCATGTATGTGCTGTGGCATTTGTGGGTATGGAAAATGACTCCTATAAGTCAATCCTGGTACTACCACATTTTATCTAACAGCCCAGATCTTGTTGTAGTACTCAGATGCATTTTACATCAGTGATCAACATCTTTCTAGCTTATTCTGTTGAATTTGATTAGCATAGCCTGTCAAGGTTTTAATATCCAGGTGATGGTGAAACAACTAACTCATCAAAGCTGACTGAAAAGAGCAGAAATTATAAATCAAACCAGGTGGCTCTAATATGCTAGCCTCAGCTGTTGTCTCAACCATCTCCTCTCTTATACAGCTGCGAAGTAACACTTTGCTGGAGACAACAGATGTAACAAGACTGAAGATGAACCAAGTAGAACTCATGATGTAGACAAAAAAGCACACTTGCCAAAAAACAATGGACAGTCAAGTGTATCATTATTCTGTTTCTTTTTTGCATTGAGTAAATACATCGAGCAAAGGCGAAATGAGCCTTTGTGCTTTTATGACATCTTGTACAGGTCGAATCCTTTCCAGGGTCCTCGGCAGATGAGTTGATCTGCCTACAAGAACTGATTTACAACAGACCTGCCTAAACTAAACCATCCTTCATGAGGTCGAATCCCGTGTAAGATCCAAGTACCATGATTTCCATGCTTCAACATAATGGCCAAAAAGATCATTCAGCGCTGCATTCACAAAATGTAGGGGAACTGTGTAAGTTTATCAACAGGGTAAACCATATATTTGACACAAACAGCAAAAATGGCATAGTTAAAAGTTACTCCTTCTGTAAACAAATATAAGAGCGTTTAGGTCACTATTTTAGTGATCTAAACGCTCTTATATTTCTTTACCCTAAACCCTAAACCCTAAACCATTTTAGTGATCTAAGCGCTTTTATATTTGTTTACAGAGGGAGTACTGTAGAAGTTAAAACTGGAAATAATATCATGAGAAACTATACAACCACTTGTCAAAGACCAGAGAGCTGATGGCAGTTATTAAAACTAGATCACTAGATTCAGAAATTGAGATTTCTGGTATGGTTGTGAAAGTTCAGCCCCTGAAAAAAATTGCCTTTTGGGATAAAGAGAAGGTTTGAGGGATTAAGTTTAGGGGATCTGCTAGAGATCCCCTAAACTAAGTATACTAAATTAAAAAAAAACTCCACATTTGGGGCTAATTACCACCACTATTGAGAAAAATTCAAAAAAACACCACTTTTGAGGCCGGTTGGTAATAAATTGCACTGATCTGAGGCTTAGCGCATTTTGACAGCGAATCTGATGGGTGGGACCCGTCTGTCAGGTTGGTGTGGCAAAGACTACCCCTAGTCCCACCTGTCAGCCACACATCTTATTTCCCCTCTCTTCTCCTTCCTCCCCGTCCTTACCACCGATCCCCCCCCCTGCCACCCTAATCTACTCAGGTGAGCATAGCCAGGCCAGCGACCTCCGAGACGATCACTGGTGACTACTCATGTTGAATTTGGTTGTCAAAAGACCAAATGCTATTAATGTCAGCTATCCTGGAATGTGTTTACATACGTGTTTCGGTCAATGCATAAATACAAACAGGTGTACAAACAACCGCTAGAATGCCTACTCAAAGCAAAGGGGCTAAACTTCTAAAGTTAACGAAACCGTATAAAATTCATTGTCCTGAATTCCTGAGCTCCAGTTTCTTCTTGATCATGCATATCAATTTGGATGTGAAGTGGCCAAAGTACTAGACATGTAAATTACTAGTAACTAATAGAGGGTCATACAAGCACTTCAATGCATCCAGTGCAAAGAGGTAGATAACCAAATTGGCATCTCAAAACAAAATTCCATCCAGTGCAGTTTTCTAAACCCTAAATCTTAACTGTAGAAAATAAACATGTGGGAGAAATGTTTAGCTTACCGTGATTTTGGTACTGTGGACGGAATGAAACAGCGAGACTCTCCCAGTCTTGAATGTTCTTCATCTCATTCTCCCTCACTGTCTGATCATCAACTTCATGTTTCCTTGCACCAGCAGGGTGGAAGGGCCCATAAACAAAGCCACTACTCTTCCCTTGCCCGAGCTGACTCTCGAAAGTTTTCAACATGCTGCTGCCACCCTGCATGAGTTTGGGTTTGTTCTCTGTTTCCAAGACTAACTTGCCCCTCTTATTGTCAATGTTTGTGATGTCGGTACCAAATGCCCTCTTGCTAGACATAATCTTCCTGGATGGTGGTAAAGCAACCGTGACAGTGGCACCTTCCTTTCGCTTTGCCTGACCGAGCCACCGGAATGCAGGTTTTCTGGAGTCCACCTGCTGTGTCTGAAACAAACAACAAAACCAACCATGCTAAGAAAAATGATCACTTCCACAATTTGAAATGGCATGTGGTCAAGAGACTACCTTCTCAATGAGGTTCAAAGAAGATAGCACATTGGCAATGTCATACAGTCGACGAACCTTAGCTGTATTATCAACATCAGAATTGTAATGAGTTCCAGTTGGATAGAAAATTCTGTTGCCACGACTAAGCAATGGATCCCATAAAATATAAGAAAAGCAGGTACTGACTTCTCATATTGCTCTCGGCATGTCTCTCTCCAAGGAGCAGCCTTGCAGCCTCGTCAAGTGAGACTGTCTCAACCTGTGCCAGTAGTGAATCACATTACAATTAACCACGAAGGACAAGCCGCCTTAATGAAAAAAAATGCAGTGGAATTCTCAATCGGTTCACCTCCATGGTGAGGAAGAGCTTGACAAAATTCTGCGTGAGCAGCCCAAGCGACTTCTCCTTCCTATGGTCTACTAATGTGGCACCAGAAACACATTCAGTGCATAACATGATGGTCACTAGGCACAGCAAAACAATTAGAAAGAGATTGATCAGCCATACCAGATCTAGGTGGGCACATGGGCACGTCAGGCTTATCAGAAGCATTGTCGAGGGACTGGCTAAGCTTCTCGCTGTCGGCGTCCCCATCTGCATCGCCCAATTTATCATCGTCGTCTTCATCGTCCGACACCTTCACAGCCACCATAAGAAAGGCCACTTCTTTTATCAGCAACACAACAATTGCTTCACAAGTAAAAGGGGCAAGCAGAACAGAGTGAAGAAATCTAACATTGGCAGCAGATGATTCCTCCGGTGGCGGAGCTAATCCAGACATCTCTCTCAGTGTCCTCTCCTGAACAAGCGGGAAGAACAAAAGAGGAAGACATTAATCATGATAGTGTTTCGGTCTAAAGAATCTTCTTTTTTTCGAAACAATGTAAAAGACTTGCCGTTTTCATTCATTTATTGAAGAGAATTGCCCAGCTAATTAAGAACAATAATTAAATCGTGTAGAATTGGCATAGATCAGAATATGCGGATCCAAACCTTGAGCTCCTTGAGCGCGGCAGGGACGCCCTCAAATCCGATCCATGTGTACCGATTCTTGGCCCTCCTCACGAGAATCTGCGTGATGCTCAACAACTGTCACGAAGGCCATCGGTAAAATCGAATGCCAAGGACGAAAAAATAAGTGTCTTGTGGGGAAGGCCATGCCAGGCAAGGAAATCAAGGCTCACCCCGACGCTCTCGAGCACGTTGACGATGTCGTAGATCCGGCGCCTCTCGACGCCGAGCCGCCTGGCGGCGTCGTCCAGCCCCACCGTCTCCACGTCGTCCCGGTCGTACAGCGCCACGAAGCTGCAAAGCCCGGCAGAGCCTAGCTAGGTCAAAAACCGGCGAAATGCACAACGCGTCATGCGGAAACGGGAGAGCGAGGAGATCTCCCCCCTACTTGGAGCAGAGGAGGCCGAGGGACTTCTGCTTGCGGCTGTAGGCGTGGTGCCGGCAGGCCCTCACGGCGGCGCCCGAGCCGCCTCCGGCGCCGTCGATGACCAGCCGCGGGGGCAGGTAAGGAGGAGGAGGAGGGGGCGGTGGCTGCGCAGCGGCCGCCGGAGCCCCGGCGGCGGCGGCGGGGTCCATTTCCGGTGGATGTCGAGGTGGAAAGGGTAGGGAGGGGGGAATTTTGTGGTCTTGTTTATTGGTGATGGGATCTGCGGGTTGGGTTTTGGAAAGGTGGAGGAGGGGAGGGCGGCGAGGACGTTGGAATGATTGCGTTTTGGCGCCCGCGGCGGCGGCGCGTTTTCAAACTTTTGGCCCCTTCCGCGCCGCCTCCCGTCCCGTCTCCCGCTCCTGCGCGGCCGAATTTCGTGTTTTGACCCTTTTTGAAAAGGATTTCAGGATCTGACCCCTGTTTGAATTTTTTTCGAAATTTGATCCTTTTGCTATCGCCAGGGCCTATGGCGGTAGGGTTAGATTGGCTACCGCCACGGCCCATGGCGGTAGGGGTGCGACGGAGGGGGACGGCGGCCGTTTGACTGCGCTGACGTGGATAAGTACCTACCGCCAGGAGGCCTGGCGGTAGGCTGTCCAAACCTACCGCCAGAGCACCTGGCGGTAGGGTCCTGTCTCAGTGTAACGATTCTGTAACGAAGAATTGAGTTGCCCTGGCGGTAGGCTGTCTGACCCTACCGCCAGGGGCCTTGGCGGTAGGGTCTTGTTTTTTCATTGTAACGATTTTGTAACGAAGAATTGAGTTGCCCTGGCGGTAGGCTGTCTGACCCTACCGCCAGGGGCCTTGGCGGTAGGGTCCTGTGTTTTATGAATTTAAGTTCATTTGCTTGCTTCTTTTCAAATTCAATATGACAATAATATTATAGCAATTTTCACAAATATGACAACAATATCACAGATCTCAAACAATTAAACTTGGGCATCACATACACATTAACAAATTTGAAGTGCATAGAACATTTCAAACGAACTTCAACTAATTAGTAAACGGAGTTCCACATAGTTTCACAAATAGCAAACACATAGATCCACAAATAGCAAACACATAGTTCCACGTAGCTTCATAACCACCCGAATAGTTCAATCAAACGAAGTTCAACGAAACTAAAGGAGCCAACTATCGAAGAGCATAATCAGTTGCTCCTTCCCCTCTTGGAGGTACGGTCCTCGTTACTCTTTGAACGATTCTCTTCGGTCTTCTTCTTGGGCCGTCGAGGAACCGGTCTCTGGAAAGGGTCCGGACTCAGCAAATCCTTCTTCTTCGGCAGCTGAGATGCTTGAGACGTTTGAGTTGCTGGAGGTCCATAATCTTCATCGTACTCCTCCTCCCTGTTGCTCTCATCCTCCTCCTCCCCTTCTTCATATATGGCCTCCTCCTCCTCCTCCTCCTCCTCTCCAACCAACCTAGACGACGAGGGAGCATGGCTCGATGAGCCGATGATACCCTGTGTGGCTACAGGCTGATGAGCTTCAACTGACCCAGCTCCAGCACACCCAAGCAGCCCTGCCAGCTTGCGACAACGCTGCACGAACTTCTGCACTCACAATGAAGCAAGGTCATAATAAGTTCAGATCGACTGACTGCAAGTGAACAAGATGCATCTGTTCCGAGGAGACTGAAATTGTACCTTCATCGTCCCCCTGACTCTGGTCTCAGATTGTACGCTCCCGGGAAGATGACCTAGTGCATCTGAGGCTTCAAAGATGCATCTGTTCAGCTCACCGGACTACAACGGCATAAGTCAGTCACGTTGACGAATAAAATATTTTAAATACGACCGTCGGTTCAAACGTACCACTCTGTTGATGAGGGGTGCAAACTCCCTAAATCCACTGTGCATGTCTCTGATGCCGGTCTGGTATGCCTGTTCATCGGGGTCAGCCCACTCCAGCTCCGCGATGTCTTCCGCCGTCCATCGAGGCCTGAGACGAAGACGGTGCTTCTGGCCATCATCGTACCACCTCATGTGCCGGCCCAGGTAATCATCCCAGTTAGTCACTCTCCTCTCCACGTCTTTACGCCACCTCCGTCGGTTCCACTCCGTCACATGAGTCTTATGCTCCTCTCCCCAGTCTGTGATCGACTGATTCTTCTGCCGACTCATGCTGCAAGGCATAAGCAACAAGAATCATCATAAGCGCAATGAGATCATCATAAGCAACAAGAAACATGATAATCTCATGGAGAACAAAGAGCTCACAGGTGGAGTGCGTGGCCGCCGGTATCGGTGGGCTGGCCCGGTGGGGTATGCTGATAAATCCCAAACTGCGTGGCCACGCGTTGTGGCAAATGCCACTCGACGGCGTACACGCAGATCATGGGCACGATGCACCGCCAGAGACCACGGTCCGCATCGCACATCACATTCAGATCAAAGTCCCACTCTCGTTCTTGTTGATACGGCCACCAGATTACCTATTACATATACCTTGGTAAGTTCGCACTCTCGGTCAATAGCGGAATCAAAGAGAAAGGTGTTGGGCGAGTTCATATACCTGCGTATGCGTCAAAGCGTCCAACTCGTTGGTGTAGGTCTTGTACGAAATCTTGTTTAGGCCCGTGTAGAGTTTGACAATGTCCCACTCGTAAGCTACGGTGGGGTTTCGAGTCTCGTCGCCTTCTTCGCCATAGTCTTCCCATGGGCGTCTTGGCAACTTCTCCGGACGCCCCACCGGCAGCCGCTCCCACATCCAAATGGAGAAGGCCCAGACAAAGCCACCCATATTGGACTTGTCTCCCGTCCTCTGCGTTGCATCGTCAAGCTGCAAAACATCAAATGAGGATCAGATATAAGAAAATGTCATGGACACACTTTCGTAGGTAGGTACGCAATTAGACACTCTCTTACCGAACGGTATAGGTAGGCGAGAGATGTCGTCCCCCAACTGTACCATGCATCCCAGTCTGCTAGGAAGAACAGATACGCCCAGTTGGCAGAGTTCCCGGAGCTGTCTGGAAACACGACCTCCGAGAGAATATACCACAGATAGGCCCTCGCGTACAACTCCACAGTCGCCTCATGTGCGCCTTGGGGGCATGTCCTCCGGTGCTCCAAGAGCCAGGGCAACGGCACACCGGATGTACGGTTACTCTTGGCACCGGGGCAGTCGCCGATGAGGGTGGTGACCCTCTCCTGCCAGTTGGCCCTCTCCACTCGACCGGTGAGTGCATGACCCTCGATCGGCATTGCAGTAATCATCCCCCGGTCCTCTAGGGTCACCGTCATCTCCCCGCATGGCAGATGGAAAGAATGGGTCTCCGGTCTCCAACGGTCAATCAGAGCTGTGAGAGCCACGTGGACAAGCGTCGGCGGCTGACGCTTGAACTGCAGCACGAAACCCAACAGTCGGGCTCTCTTGAAGAACGGCGCGTAGCGCTCGTCGTAGTCCATATGCCCATGAACCCCGTGACCCCTCATGCGCAGTGGCTGGAGCGTCTGTTAAAAAGTGAACGCCAAAAAGTTAGGAAATCATTTTCATCAATCCGAGAACTTTGATCAAAATTTCTTTCATATCACTTACCTCTCCGTTCTCTATGAAACGGGCACGATGACCCTTGTCGAATGCCCAGTCCAGCATGCAGTACCGTGGGCCGATGTTGTCCGCAAGAGGTGGCTGCCTTAATAGAGTTTCATAAACAAAAACACCATAAGCATAAGCATACTTAAACAAACAATGAACTCAAATCATATCAAGATCAAATTTTAAGCATATTCCTCCAACAACATCTACTACACATGATGGATCAAATCATATCAACATGCATCATATAAAAAAAACCTCCAACATACATCATAGCTTCATATTTTTAAACAAAATTTTCCAAACAATATCTTCATATCATCATATCAACATGCATCATCAAACTAGGGTTCATCTTCACACTAGAGCATATCATCATATCAACATGCATCATCAAACTAGGGTTCATCCCTTTATCAACAATACATCATAATTTTTTTAACAAAAAAATTATGAACTAGGGTTCATCTTCACACTAACATATGAACTATTGATTAGAGTACATATCCAATACCACTACTTACTAAAGAACTAAGAACTACAACTACAATCAATCTTAGGTGAAAAAAAATCAATCTAAGTTCAAAAACATGAGGGATTTCAAGCAAATAATGCGTCGAATCGGTAGCAAGTTTGCAAAAACTAATTGGAGGGATCGGAGGAGCTTACGGTTCTCTCCTCGGGGCCATCTTGATCCGCCAAAACGGTGAAGAATCGGTGAAGATCCAAGGGGGGAGTGGAGGAGATGAGAGAGGGAGAGAGGGGCGACTTGGGGGAGAAAGAAAGGAGAAACTGCCGACTTGGGGGAGGGGAGGGGTGGGGAGAAGGGAAGGGGCGCGGTCTCGGGCGAAATAACTGCCCCGCACCCTACCGCCAGGGCGCCTGGCGGTAAGGTTAGACAGCCTACCGCCAGGGCCCATGACGGTAGGGTGCGACGGAGGGGGACGGCGCCGTCTCCGTGTGCTGACGTGGATAAGTTTCCTACTGCCATGGGACCTGGCGGTAGGCTATCTAACCCTACTGCCAGATGCCCTGGCGGTAGGCAAAAGGGTCAAATCTCAAAAAAAAAATCAAACCGGGACCAGATCCTGAAATACTTTCTAAAAAGGGTCAAAACACGAAATTCGGCCCTCCTACGCGGCGCGGTCGGTCTGGCTTTGGGTGTCGTCGTGGCCTAGCGGTGGTTAGGGCTAGGATCAGGTGGATTGTGGAGTCAGAGGCTACTAGGTACAAGAATAAAGAAAGGTAGAAATAGAAAACACCCTAAAAATATATACTTCCTCGTTTGAAATTACTTATTATGAAAATGAATAAAAATGGATGTATTTAGGACCAAAATATATAGATCCATTTCTCCAACTAGTAGCTATCTTAGTGATTATAAAACGTCGTATTACAGAGGTCATTGATTCTTATAGAAAATGTGTACTGTTTTTATTTTTGTGGAGAGAGAATGTGTACTATTTATTTCTATAGAATATGATAGATGGTGTTGTAAAGGGTGGCTGCCTCAAAAGTGAAGGATTATCACGAGTAATGAAAATATTAGGATGGAACTGTTGCGAGCTCGGTTCAGCTTGGGCAGTTCATGCGCATCTAGAGGTTTA